TTATTGTACACAAGTATTTCAAGAGAAAAATCTGCATCTGATTACTAGCATGTCACTAAGAATCAGCACCACAAAACACCTCTTTTTCTATGTTTTCCACTGACTCACAAAAATGGAAGGGATCTCAGTGAACCATTTCATCCAATCTTTTTTCTGAGGCAGGATCAAATCTACCTAGAGGCTTCTGGGGGTTACAGAAGCATGACACCCATTTTGCCAATGCCAGTTCTCAGCCCCATCTCTTCTTATGTCCATCCCCATTCAGCAAAACATGAGTGGGCTTAAGTCCTGCCTCAATCCATATAATCTGCTGAGCAGGAATGGACTGCTAATGCGTTTAAATCATACTCTACTTTTAATGTGAATTAACTTCCCTATGTAGAGAACGCAGCAGTAACTACTGCCAGGGGCCTTTGGCTCCTAGAAATAGCTTGATCAAAAATTCTGAAACACTTATGGGTGGAGCTTGCTGGAGGTTCAATGTAGCTTCCAATACGTATGCATGTAGACACAGACACACCACCTGCAAGGCAGTGATACAAGACTCCCACACTGCAAGTGGCTATTTGCAAAATCAGGGATGCCAGAGAAATCATCCCAAAATTGCAATATACAGAATTTATAATAATTAGTATTAAAAGCAAAGCCAAATATTATTAGTCTTGACCAGATTCCCTGAAAGTTTAAATTTTAATCAGCTTAATTTGGCCATGAAGAAACATAAAATGAAAAGTTTTGCTTGCAAAACTGCCGAAGTTCAGTATAACAGCTTAGGCTGTCTAGAAATACGGTCACTTGGGCCCTCTGGAAATATACCTAGTTGTGTATCCTATTAAATGTAAGGAACTTGGCATCTTTGAAGACAGGCATCATCAGAAAATGACCTATGCTACAGTAGCTGTAGGGCAAAGCCTGGATGTGTGAATGCTGTCTGGGCTGTGTGCGCGTGTGTGAAAAACAGATAACTGATGAGCATTAATCAATTTTTAACAGGCAGGATATGCAATACAATACAATTGCTAACATCAGCAGAAACAGCTATATGGGTCAGCATTGCACTGCTCTATGTGGATAACACCCATTCATCGAAAAGTTGGAATGGAGTTTGCATATACTTTAATTTTTTAAATCAAGACTTTGACCTGCACAGTCTTCTCTTGGTGAAGATGGTGGTCTCAAGGATTGGAAATATGACTTTGTCTGTTTTATCTGTCTGACAGAGGGCTAAAATCTCTACAATCCCCTGTTCCTAATTAAGAAATGGGTGTTGGCAACCACCAATATTTTACTGAGATTCTTGCAATATTGGGGGTTTTGGGCTGGGGGAGAGGGGATGTTTGTTTGTTTTTTGTAAAGCTCCAGCTCCTGAAATGGATTGACAACACTAAACTGTCAGCTTTCATTTCTTTATTATAATAGCACTAAACCAGCTCTGCTACTCCATCAGAACCTCTGGAAGAGGATTCTATATACAACCAACCAACCTAAACCTCCAGGGACTTCTCCAGTATACAGGCTGTGTTATACAGAAGAGCTGTCTGACTGACTATAGACACCGTTCTCTTGAATATACAGTGAATCTGATCAGAATGTATGAGACGTCACACTGGCTTGGATCACAAGCATCTAGCCCAGTACTGAGTCTCTCCCCGTGGTACAAAATAAAAGCAGGGCCTACCTTGACTGACCTGTCCCCAACCCCTCTTACCTGACAGCTTTCACATTTAGAGGCTTAGGATGTTACCATTTGGAGGTTGCATCCATAATCATTATGTTTAATATCCACCAATGGACATACCCTCCATGAATTTGTCCCATCTTCTTTTCAACCCAGTTAAATTGTCAGCCTCTAGAAAATACATTCAAAAAACCCAAGTAAGCATAGCGACCCCACTTGCACATTTGGTAGATTTTGTCCAGTGTACTCACTCTTATCTGGACTGAGT